CCTAAACCCTATAGTCTAAACTTCTTGTCTCCCCTTAGTTCGCCCTACGAGTCTAGGGCTTAGGGCAGTTCGCGAGGCAACAGGTCTGCATGCTCAGAAAACTTTCAAGCAGAGACCCATTACAAAGGAATCCTGAACCATGCCAGAGTGTTTAGGCTTTAGGGTTTAGGGTTTAGAGTTTAGGGTTTAGGGTTTAGGGTTTGGTTTAGCGCTTCGGGTTTTCGTTCCGGGCGTGAAGGACCGCTGGAGCCCGCGTGAGCCCAAAGCAGACACCGGCTGCGACGATTGCACTCCTCCACCTCAGAGACCTGCGGCTTCAGGGTGTTTTACGGGTGGCAGTCCCCGGTGTGGGGGGCCTAGGACCAGGAGGTTCATGGTACTTATTCACCGAGTATAACAATACTTATAACCAGATGCTTACAAGTGGGTTACAAGTACAGTTCTCGTTGGCTTATAAGTACAATGAACCTCCAAGTACAGCACCCCCTACCAGCCAGCCGAACTTGTGTGGGGCTTGCAAAGTGTACTTGCTTGTGAGATAGGGGAGGGGCTCAAAGGGCACAGTGAAAGGAGAGTCCCTTGCTTGGTTGAGGGCTTAAGGTCTGTAGTCTATATAGGGTTCAAGAGGAGCCTGCCCTTCAAAAAGTAACACGGGTACCAGTGAGCAAGCTGTAACCCCATCTTTCCAACTCCTTCCGTCCGCAGGGCAACCCTAAACCCTAAACACTTACCTCGAACTCTGCGGCCGCCAACCTGGTAGCCCGCCGTCCGCCCCTTCTAGGAGACCCCTAAACCCTAAACCCCAAACCTGGACCCTGAACCCTAAACCCTAAACCGTAAACCCGAAACCCTGAACCCTGAACCCCGAACCCGAGAGAGCCTGCTTGACCGGATCGAATACTTCAAGGCACTTCGGGATCTGTCCAGAGATTTGCGGTTACTAGGGTTTTAGGGATGGTTAGGGTTTAGGGTTTAAGGTTTAGGGTTTAGGGTTTAGGGTTTAAGGTTTAGGGTTCAAGGGATGTTGAGGGTTTACGGTTCAGGTTTTTACAGAAGCTTTCTCGACAACTGCATAATCTGTGGGGCTGCAGAGGCTGCGAGAGTGGAGTTTCACAAAGGGCGGCCTTGTGGCAAATCGGGTTGCAGTTTCGACGTTGGGTTGTTTTTGCTGAGGCTAAGGGCCGTTCAGGGAATCTGGGTACACTTCAACCTCAAAAACCCCGAAATCCGGACGATCCTGCATCTTATCCGGAACCTAAACTCGTGTCAACTCTCACACAGGTGGCCCTGCACAATCAATTTTAAAGTCTGGGTCACTGCTAGAACCTGCTGGAGCAGGACCATTGACAGGGTTTAGGGTTTAGGGTTTGGGGTCGGATTCTCACTACATAGCCCCCGAACCATGCTGAATCCTATACATATAAAAAAGTCGTGGTCAACAGGCATCGATCCAAGGCACACAAGGTTCTCTAGGGTGTCAAGGTTTCCCAAAAAGAACCGGGAAGCATGAGCCCAGCAACATCAACATCCGACACCGGGCCTTCCATTTTGTCTGCTCTTCTGGCAGCCTGGAAAGAAGGGCGGTCGGGGACTCATAGATTTGGGAGCTTTTCGGGGGATGCTTGCACCCGGAGATGACAAAATGCTCTTATGGTGGTTTCGAGGTCCCTTAAATATGGGCCCTTGAAAGGTACCCCTTACATACCCTATACAAATGAAGGGCCCATGCATCAGAACCCTTTAAGGGAGGTTAGGGACCATATTACCGGCCCATGAAACTACCTAAACCCTAAACCCTAAACCCTAAACCTAAACCCCAAACCCCAAACCCTAAACCCTAAACCCCAAACCCTAAGCCCTAAACCCTTAGAAATGCCAAAGGCCCCGACCCGCCACCGAGTCAGAGGCAGTTTAGGGCTTGCAGGGGATCAACGGCTTATGGAACCGCAAGGCCCTAAACCCTAAGACCCTAAAGGATCTAAACCCAAAGGCCCTAAAGTTTTGGGATTAGGGTTTAGGGTTTAAAACCTTAAACCCTATGAACCCCAAACCCAAGACCCAAGACCGCCCGCTCGAAAAGAGCTTGTGGGTCCAGGGTTTAGCAAGTTAGGGCTTGGGATTCAAATTAAGGCAGTAGGTACCCTTATTCCGGGAGTCTATTTATTTCTAATCCCTGGTTCCCTACTTGCGAAGAACCAGCAGGGATGCCATGGTCTGTTTACTTCACCATTCTTGCCGAACATTTCTCTCGTGGCAGGATAGATGGTGCCCCTAAACCCTCTAACACCCTAGAATGGGGTCGCGTAATGGTCGTTAAAAGGAGATCTGCTGGTACCTTGCTGCAGTGTACGACGGTATACCCTACTTTACAGTGTAGACTGGTTTTAGTATAGCAGCTCAGCCTAGATAGGAAGTGGTATATTCTTGTTGCCCTCAAGCCTCAAACCCACACACAGACAGCTTCAGGCAGAGCAGCTCAAACACATCTTATCTCCCGGAAGCTGGGTTTAGGGTTTAGGGTTTACTGTAGGGTTTAGGGTAGCTATCCAAAGCCATAAACGCAGTTGTCTTTACATGGTAGGTCCTGGCTGCAGAACACCTCTGTCTGTGGGCTTTGCATGCATTTTCACCTATTCCCCTACGCCCTATAAACCGCAAGCCAACCGTAAACCAAGCCCATGTCCACCCAAACTCCCCGAAGGTGAGCCGCAAGAGGTATGAAAGGTTTACAGATTCTACGAAACCCCAAACCCCAAAATCTAAACCCTAAAACCTAAACCCTTGGGCTTATACAGGCCTTAGACGGCTGCTAGGTCTTCATAGCCCCTTATAAGCTCTAAGACACTAACTTCAAATCCAAGGTGCAGAACCATCATGTCGCTGCCGAGAACCACACTGATCTTCCTTCAGCATTGAAGAGCTTTGGGCTGTTTTACCATGAAACCTAAACCCTAGGTCTAATCCCTAAACCCTAAACCCTAAACCCTAAACCCTAAACCCTAAACCCTAAACCCTAAACCCCTGAGCTTGAGAGGTGACAGAGGTTTAGGAGTGTAGGGGCTTGAGGGCTTACTCGATTTCGGGCCTCGAGGGATGGTGGAGGTGGCAAGGCTTAGGGCTCCGGGGTTGGGGAGGCACTGAGTGTTTGGGGTTTAGGGTTTAGGTTTAGGGTATAGGGCTTAAGGTTTTAGGACCCCCAAAACCCTAAACCCCTCAACCATTTAGGGTTTTGGGCCCCCAAACCCTACACCCTTCAACCATGGAAGCGGCCGGCACCTTCCCGGCAGAGTCGGAGAGGCCATGTGCAAGTTGAAGTCCTTGGCCCTAAACCCTAAACCCTAAACCGTAAAACCCCAAGCCCCGAGCCCCGAGCCCCGAGCCCTGAGCCCTAAGCCCTAAGCCCTAAACCCTAAGCCCTCAACCCTAAACCCTAAACCCTAAACCCTAAGGGCTGATGCCCTCAGAAGGTTCATCTTAAAGCCCTCGAGGTGGTTTTCTTTCGGGTTTATCTATGGGGTTGAATTGGGGTTTGTAGTGTTTTGTTGGGGTTGATGGGGTTTATTTGTTTATTTGGGGTTTGCAGGGTTTACTCTGGGTTTTTTGTTGTTTTTTTCCCTTTGGGGGGGGGGGGGGGTGGGTGGGGTGTATTTGGGCTTTGTAGGGTTTATTTGGGATTTACAGGATGCTTATGGTTTGGTATCTAACGCGAACCTCCGATTCTGCAGCCATGGCACTGACGCTGCGGGCGGTCGAAATGGATGGTTGCCGCGAGAATCTTGCAGCGTGCGAGGCTTCCGAAGCAATCATATACGGGTCGGTATTCCCTTATGGCCCCTTTATAGAACACCCCGATTCTACTCATTCAGGCCCCTATAATCTGCTCCCTAAAGCCTCAAAAAGAAGCCGTGCGCAGAAGTGGAATGCAGGCGGCGAACATAAATTAAATTCCCACAAGAAACATGCGACATTCTGCAATGCTACACTCGCGAAACCCACATCCAGTGCCCCTAAACCTGAAATCCTACACCCGAAGCCCCAACACAGCCCAACGCCTTGCTTCCAAGAGAAAGCATTCAGGATCCGAGAGAGCAAACAGCAAGGAGCTGCCGAACGAGCGTGTTTAAACCCCAAACGCTTCGAAACCCATTCAGGCTTCGGAAACGAAAGCCCCAAGCCCTAACCCTAAATCCCTACTATAAGTCTTCAGCACTTCTTGCGAATACCGCTGCTAGGGACCTAAGCCCTAAATCCCAAACCCTGAACCCTAAACCCTAAACTTTGAGACCTAAACCCTAAACCCTATAACCTTGGTCTCTGACCCAGCCCGCATGGCAGCTCGAGGAAACCGGTGCGGCCTCACGGGGGGCTGCGCTAAGCCATCCAACCCCTATCCTCATTGCTGACGAGGGAGGGCACCTTCAACCCCCAACACCTGAGGAAGAAAGGCGTCAGGTGAGGAGGGGTGAAGTCCGGTTGACATCAAGTCTCACGGTGCCATGACCAAGATTCACGAGGATGTAAAGAGAGACACGTGTCTTTCAGCCGATGAACATCCGTTCAAGATTGGAAAAGGCTGGATGCGGATCTCAGACGACTTTTCGCCAGCGTTCTCTCTGTGTTCTCTTGCGCTGGCAGCACCCCACGCGGGAGAAAATGATGCGCACTCGCTGGTGCTCGCGAGATGAGACGATGATCCTACACCTGGGCAGCCCTCCAGAATGTGGTTCTTGGGGCCCCAGCTGTTCTAGAGCGGATGAGGCTTCACCAGTCCCATGCCCTGACCCTACATGCGAGATCTTCGGGGGGTATGGCTCCATATATAGATATAATCGACCAATAAACTTCAACATCTGTAAATAAATATTAATAGACAGATAAAGATAAAGATGAAGATAAAGATAAGGATAAAAAACACACATATATCTACATATATGTAAACACTATCAGATCCAACATTGCAAATCATGTTCTGAGAAAAGCGAATCCCTTACACGAGCAGCTCAGGTCTCATCTTGCCGGCAGCCCGCGCGAAACGCTGCAAGCAGCAACACGACCTGGAGGGACTGGGGTTAAGGGTTTAGGGGTTTAGGGTTTAGGGTTTAGGGTTTAGGAGCTGCCCATGCCGAGATCACTCCAATCTCTGCCAACCCGAAGCCCACTTGACTACCGCCTTGGGAAAGGACATGTTTCTGGTTGCCACAAGGGCCCAAACCCGAACCCCGAAACCCTAAAACCCTTAACCCCTGAAACCCTGAAGCCCTAAAACCCTGAACCCACTTGCGCCCATTCTTGTTGGATCCCACCTCTGTGTGAGAAGCCTCCGTTGCTGCTTGAGCCGGCCTGGTGCCATCCAATTTGGCCTGGTCCTCCGATTTCGGCGGTTTTGGGGTTTGGGGGTTTTTGGGGTTTGGGGGGGTTGGGCTTTTTGGGGTTTCGGGCTTAGGGCTACGGGCATGCAGGTGGGTGGTTGCGGAGGTTTTGTGCTACCCTAAATCCAGAACCCGAAACTGCTGGAGCCCCAGCACATGCTGAAGCCCGGTTTAGACTTTGGTACAACGACTACAAGCCCTAAACCCTAAACCCTAAACACCCCATAAATCCTATAAACCCTAAGCCCTGAAACCTTATAAGAGCCCAAACCTGTCAATTTCATGTCGGCGATGGCTATGCCGGCGCCGAGGCCTTCCACCCAACTTGCCCTAAACCCCAAACCCGAAACCCTAGACCGCCGCTAAACGCAGAACCCCTCACAAGAAGTTTAGGGCTTAAGGTTGATGGGGGTTTATAGGGTTTCAGGTTTATAGGGTCTTATGTGGTTCAGGGTTTATGATAGGGTTTTTGTTTATGGGGTTTAGGGTTTAAGGTTGATAGGGTTTAGGGTTCAATTTTTAGACTTGTCCCGTCCTGGTCAGCACCGGCCATCAGCAACAGCCGGGCAACCTCCACACGGCCAAGTGACGCAGCCGCACACCTTGGAGGTTTAGGGTTTAGGGTTTAGGGTTTAGGATTTAGGGTTCAGACCTTGGGGCTTACTAAGGCTAGACGAGGAATAAAATTTAAAAGGGTGCCCTTCTTGGTTGAAAGGGGTTTGGAGGGGAACCTAAGCCCTATCTAAAGAAGGGAATAAGGGCTTACTCTGGGTCCTGGTAGGTGGTCGGTTCAAGGTTCGGGCTGGATGGTTAGAGGCCCGCGACCCCTCTCACCTCTCTTGGGGTAAGGCGGGCCCAAGAATGCTAAACACTTCCTAGACCAAAACACCAACCCGAAACAAGCCAAGACACCCTAAATCCTACAAACCTTAAAATAGTTCTCTAGCCCTCAACCCTAGATCACACCAACTAGCACAACAGCACCAAAGAAACAAAACTAAACCCTAAACCCTAAACCCTAAGGCCTAAACCCTAAACCCCAAACCCCTAATTCCTGCACACTTTCAAACAGTGCCTAAACCCTGGATCGCAGGAAGAAGCGCCAAAAAGCCTTGAAACGGCAAAATCCTGCAAAACTTGAACCCTACTTTGGAGTAGACCCGGAAAAAGATATGCGTTTTAGGGACAGTGAAGACTTCTCCGAGAGGCACCTAAACCCCAAAACCCAAAAACCCAAAACCCTAAACCCTAAACCCTAAACCCTAAACCCTGAACCCTGAACCCTGAACCCTAAGTTGAAGATTTCTCCGAGCGGCAGCGGGCTGGCTCCTGTGGTGCTGAGAGCGACATTCGCATCAGCTCGACCCTCGAGCCTAGGCAGGGAAATGGGGCCAAGGGTTTAGGGCTTGGGCTTAGGGTTAGGGTTTAAGGTTTAGGGTTTATAGGCTTTAGGGTGTATAGGGTTTAGGGTTAGGGTTTAGGGTCTAGGGTTTAGGGGTTTAGGGTTTAGGGTTTAAGGTTTTTAGGGTTTAGGGTTTTAGGGTTGAGGGCTTTGGGCTTAAGGTTTCGAGTTTGCGGTTCAGGCGCCCCCCTCGGCCTTTCTGGGTTGCTCTCCACTTCATCAGAATTGCTGCAACACCGCAGAAGGGGGTACCACTCGATCCCTATGCTGGGGCTGATTCCAGACATCTACAGAAATGTGCGTGTTCTGGGCCCTGCCCAACAAGGACCCAGATCACACACTTGTGTGGCAACTTGGGTTTTTACACCCACTCCCCTGAAAATCCTGATCCTACACCGAGCCCTTACGACTTGAACCATATTTGGGCCAGAACCCAGGAGCCCGAGTTGAATTCTCTTTAGAGGGGATCCGAGCCTAAACCCTACACCCTGAACCCTGAACCCTAAACCCTAAACCCTGAACCCTAAACCCTAAACCCTAAACAGAGTTGAATGAGGGGTGTAGACCCTAGAGGGAGCTTTCTCCGACTGAGGGATGAGGGGAGTTTATCGGGCTTAGGGATGGTTAGAGGGAGGCTCTCATAGGGGGGTCCCGATGCGACTTCGGGGAAACTCTTTAAAAGGCTCGGAGCTTGAAGCGCTGAGGGCTTACAGTGTTTAGGGTGTCCAGCCAGGGCTTACAGGGCTTGAGGGGGGGGGGGGAGGGGTCGCTTTAGGAGTCGACAGGGCTTGGCTCAAGTGATTCGGGCCGTGCACTTGAAAACCTAAAAATGAAACCCCTCGGACCCTGATGAGAAACCTCAACCCTAAACCCTACCATCACCTCCAGACCCTATAATCCTCAGAAAGCCTTTTGGAACTCCCTGGAACCCCTTAGACCTTAAGACATGCAAGGCGCAAGAGGCGGACGACGGCGAGGTGCCCGCGCTCGCAGGCCCGGAACAGGGGCGTGGCACCGTCATCTGTGCAAGCCTGGTTGATTGTAGCACCTTCCAGATGGGGGGGGGGGAGAGATACCTGGCCCTACAAACCCTAAACCCTAAAACCCGAATGAGGGGTGTAGGGCCTAGGGTTGGGAGAGTTTTGGAGATTCGAGGTTTTGGGGTGGACCTGAAGTCAAATTGGGGTTCGATGGCGGTTACAGGGCTTGCCTGGATACAGGCCACCCCAAACCCTAAACCCTAAACCCTAAACCCTAAACCCTAAACCCTAAACCCTAAACCCTAAACCCTAAACCGCAGTGTGGGCTTCGGGCTGGAAACCATTTTATGGCACAGGCCCTCAATTGTGTTGGCCCCTCCACAACTTAGCAGCCCCTGAGCATGATAAGCCACAAAACCCGATAAACCCTATAAACCCTCTAAATCGCATAAACCAAATGAACCCTATAAACCCTGTAAACACTCTAGACCCTCTAAAGCCTCTAAACCCTATGAACCCTACAAAACCTCTAAACCCTCCAACCCTCTAAACCCTCTGAACCCTGCGAACCCCATAAACCCCATAAACCCCATAAACCCCATAAACTTGTGTTTATAGGGTTCATAGGGTCCTGTGAACCCTACAGGCCTCACAAGACCTAACACCCGCTTTGGTCTGGCTTGGAAAACAGTGCCGGGCGCACCAAACTCCAGAAGAACGCGGGCCGCTTCAGCGTGACCACGGCCCGCCGCCATGTTCCTCGGCCCAAGATTTAAGGGTTTAGGGTTTAGGGTTTGGGGTTTAGGGTTTAGGGTTTCGGGGGGGGGGGGGGGGGGGGCAGATGTACTGTTGCTTGGTGGTTCGTCAGAGTGTTGAACAACCTGCTCGTAGGTGTTGGCGAGGTCGGCGCGCTTGGAGGATGTCTTCGGAATTTAGGAGATGGAAGGCCTATCCTCAGCACCTGGCATTCGATTCAACACAAAAAGGGGATCTCTGTTGTCGCCAGACACAGGAACCCCTAACCCTATATAACATGGATGCAAAATCCCCCTCTCCTGCAGAGTAGGACTTGAGGCGAATCTCCAGCTGATCGTGAAGTGGGGATTTTAGGAACTCGGGTTTGGGCGGAGCAAACTCGAAACAGGCGGATTTAGGGTTTAGGTTTCGGGCTTCCGCACTTTGGCCCAGTTTCAGTGGAGTCGTCCCATCATCGGTGCATGGCTTGTTCACATCACTGCGGTGTTCCAGCAGTGCGCGGAGGACCTCGACGTGACCCCGCACGCAGGACATGAGCAGCGGCGTCACCCCACCCGCTGTGAGGTCCGAATCATGGTTGGCTCTCGCCTCGAGCAGCAGCCGGACGACTTCCACATGGCCTGGGGAACACATGAAGACTGCGATTTGGGGTCATATACCCTGGTACTATAATTGCGAGAGAAAGGTACATGAACCATAAACCCCATAAATGAACCGCAAGTATTCGGGTCATATAACGTATACCCTAAATAACGACCATAATTCCGAGCAAGGGTTTATGACCCCCCCAAAAACCCATGTACTTGGTAGCCCAGTAACCATCTTATCATAAGGGTACCCTTTTTCTTGGCTGGTTACTTTATAAGGGAGACCCTAAACCCTAAACCCTATAACCCTAAACCCTAAACCCTAAACCCTAAACCCTAAACCCTAAACCCTAAACCCTAAACCCTAAACCCTAAACCCTAAACCCTAAACCCTCCACTGGGCCATCAAGTTTAGGGTTTATTTGTGATCCCCAAGGCCTGGCCTTTGGATGCAGCCATCAGGAGCCTGGGCTGCACCAGACCGACATTCCGACGCTTTAGGGTTTAGGGTTTAGGGTTTAGGGTTTAGGGTTAGGGCTTAGGGTTTAGGGCTCTGGGTCGATCTATGCCTACAGCCGCAACATGCCTCAAGCAATAAAATAGGGACTTCGAAAACCTCTCATGCACCTGGGCAATTCTTGGGATTCCGAGTGGACCCTTTTAAGTGTGGCCCAGAGGCGGCGTTGCCTTATTGTCCAGCTGGGCCTTGTCCGGCTCGGCCCGATGTTCCAGCAAAACCCGCACCACCTCAAATGACGTGCCAGGGCTTCACCAGGTGGGGCAGGTCGATGTGAAAGACCAACTTTCAGCTTGATATTTGTGTTTCCCTGAACCCTAAGCCCTAAACCCTAAACCCTAAACTATCCTCGAGGGTACCCTCTGTTGTGCAGGCGCGTTCTGTATCCGATGCCTCGCCTCGAGCTTCCCACGCCCGGCTGCGATGAACATGGGCGTGGCGCCGACCTTCCATGGGTTTAGGGTTTAGGGTTTAGGGTTTCGGGTTTAGGGTCCAGGGTCATATGGACACACTCACCCCTCAACAAACAGAGGCGTTGTGGCTTTCGGGTTTGGGCTTCATGTCCATGTACTGTTAATATTTATTTGTGCCCAAAAATCCCCACAGGGCAGGTACTTTACGGCCCAAGTATTCCCAATTTAGGTAACATGGACTCTTTGGGGTAGGGGTTTGGGGAGTCAGGCTTAAAGAGACGGGGGCAAGTAGGGGGATGGGGAAAGGTCTTGGCACTTAGGGGCTTGGAAGCCTAAACCCTAGAAGCCCTAAAGCCTAAACCCTAGCCCTAAACCCTAAACCCAACGAAACCCTAGCCCCAAACCCTAAACCCTAAACCCTTTAACAACCCCATTCCCACCAAGTCCAAAGTCTGCAAAGGCACGTCAGTGCAGTCGCGGTTTCGGTCGGCGCCCGCTTTCAGCAAGGACCTCGCGACCTCGTTGGGTGTTAAGAAGCAGCAGATGTATAAGATGCAAGCCACCTCGTCGACTTACACCTTATATACCTCCTACCCTAAGCCCTAATATAAGAACCTTTTGTACTGTGGTTCAAGATGGCCGTCCCGATCGCTTCGATCGCGCTCCAACTTCAAACTTCAAAATGCTCAACATGCTGCAACACTCCCCCTCCTAGCCTCATTAAACGCTAAGCCCTTAACCTAAAACCCTAAACCCTAAATTCTAGACTTCAAGTCCAACCGCGACCCTCATCACACGAGTTCAGATAGCCTCGTAACTTTGTCCTTGCCGATGTCTCTTGGTACTCCGAGATTATGATGAGCTGTTGCTGCAGGGCACCAGTAAGCAGGAAACCGTAAACTACAAACTCCAAAACTCACACATGCACAGCGCCTTCCAAAAGCCTAAGACCCGAACCTCCGAAACCCGAAGCCCTAACATTGTTCAGCTCCCGAACCCTAAAGCCCTGTAAACTCCTAAGAAAACCTGCAAAGGCTCCACCCTTAGCCCAAAGCCCTAAGCCCTACGCCCTGAGCCCTAAACCCTGGAAACCTAAACCCTAAACCCTGAAACCCTAAACCCTGAACCCGAAACCCTAAACCCTCAACCCTCAACCCTAAACCCCAAATCCCAAACCCCAAACCCTAAACCCTACGTGCGCCTCTGAGAAGCCATTCTGCGCTGCCATGAAGAGCGGTGTCGTCTGATCTGGGCCCGTTTGATCCACCGCCGCCCGCGCCTCTCCGGGTGGTTTAGGATTTAGGGTTTAGGGTTTGATGCTTGCAAGTGATGGGCGTTTATGTGGGGCTTCTTGGGTTTAGAGGTTCATGTTTTGGTGGTAGGGTGGGTTAGAGGGCCATCTAAAAGAGCAGCGGACTGTGTACCCAACATGTTGAGGCTCTTCACGCAAATTCAGGGTTCGATGAGGGCCCCGGAGAGGTTCAGGGTTTTATCGGGAACCTTACCCCTGAACCAAATGTGCAACACAAAAAACCTCACGTCTTCCAAGCGGAAAAGCCTATACCCTAAACTTTATACCCTCAAGACCATCTCAAGGAAGACGGGAACTCCAGACCCAAGCCTCCAGCAGGAGATTGGTGGCGTGCACCTGGCTGTTGTTACTTCCTTCTCTTGGTCAGTTCTTGCGCGTTTCTCGGGCTTGCTTAGCTGCGGTAGCTTTGGGGGGCCGTATAAAGTCAAAATTCTTAAAGCTTTGTAAGGATGCTATACGGGATTAAGGGGAATAAAACCCCAAAAGTTTATGTTTAAACCTACCCCTGTTAAGTTGAGGTTGAGGGGAACATGTCTGGTGGAGGTTAGAGTGCGGCGGGAGCCGACTCAGTGCATTCTGAACGAACTGCCCCACGAACCATCATCTCCACCTATTGGGTAAGCCCTCCGACCACAAACCCAAACAAAACAGGGAAAACCCTGGTGCCGCATGGCCAAAAAATGAGTTACCCCCATCATCTGATCTACATCTTCTGGCTTTGTGTCTCCATAACCATAACTCATGGTCCGTAGGGGGCAGATGCTCAGACGGTATGTTACGCTGGAGGCATATTCATGCCAGACCTTATGATCTACTGTACTGGCTTGCAAATTTGAGGGATAAGGCTTGGGGTTCGAGCTTGCTTGTGGCCCCACAAATCATCCTCGAGCCTGCACCCTGAACCCTATAAAACCTCCAGGCCCTCGAAACCCCCAAGAAACCTAAACCCTCCTAAACAACCCATGCAAACCCACAAAAAACCGTATCCATGCAAACCCACAAAAAACCGCACACAAGAAGGCATACACCCCAAAACAAGCTTCTGTAAACCTCCCAAAAAACCCTGAACCGAACAGTCGCCTGGACGCCGAATCCTGGGAAGCGGCCTGGCCGCCATGGGCTGAGGCGTGCAGAGCACAGAAGCCGTGGCTGCCAAGCAAGTCGGGGTCGTTGGGCTGCTGGAGGAGCTCCTGGTTTCGGCGGGTTTAGGGTTTAGGGTTTAGGGTTTCGGCTTGGGTTGTCTTGTTACTGATCTATATACCCTAAACCCTAAACCGCCTTGGTTGGGTTGGGTTGGATATGCGGCATTTGTCGTTGGCCGGGTGGAGGTGGGGGGGGGGGGGCGGAAGGGTTGAATTATTTGTCGATGTATGACTCTCTTCTGCACGTCTCTGGGAGTTCCGAGGAATAGGGTTTAGGGTTTAGGGTTCAGGCGATTACCACACTGCGGCAGTTCCCCAAAGTCTTCATGCGCATCCTTGCGCGTGGACCCCGATTTCAGTAAAGCTCAGACCATCGGTTGTGTTCCCGAAGTCCTACAAGCAACCATGTGAAACCGTATGGGCCAGGAGTGAGCCGAAACCCTAAAGACGAGACGCTCTGAATTTCGTGCTGTTGAAGGTTCAACCTTGCATCTCATCCGAGCCGACAAGAGAAAAGAAACAGCCCCAACCCCGAAAGCAAGCATCTGGGGAAACTATGGTTCTCGTTTTTTGGAGGCTATAACAGGGATCACAGCACAGATGTAGGGCACCTTAGTTGGGAAATACCCCGCAACCGCAGGTGGATGTAAACCTACTCAACGACTTCCCCCATAAAAACCCTGAAGCCCTTCGGTGGACTCTAAACCCTTAAACCTATAAACCATAGAAACCCTACAAATCCCATAAACCCTAGAAGCCCTAGAAGCCCTCGGCTCTACACCCTATCCCTGGAAACCCTAAACCCTAAACCCTAAACCCGAGGTCGCCAGCGAGGCCTCCACCTCATCCACACGGCCGAGAGCTGCCGCGGCGATCAAGGAGGCGACCTCCCGGGTTTGGGGCTTAGGGTTAGGGTTTGGGGTTTAAAGGTTAAAGGTTAAGGGTTAAGGGTTTAGGGTTTAGGGTTTAGGGTTTAGGGTTAGTCTTTAGCGAGCTTCTCGGGAAACACCTTCATAGGGTTTGTAGGGTTTATGGGGTGTATAGGGCTTGTAGGTTCTAACGAAGCCGAAGCCCCGAAGGTGTAAAGCTTGATTAGCCTGTTTAGGGGCGCAGGGAGTTTGTAAATGCAAGGTTGAAGCCAGTCGCGCATGCGTGGAGGGTTTTCGGATGGCTGGACAATGGGGTTTAGGGTTTAGGGTTTAGGGTTTAGGAACTCATCAGCCCTCATTGCTAGTTGGGTCTTTCCTTTTCGGGGTACTCCAAACATGACAGAATCACGCTGAACGAAGCTCAACAGCAACAGGGACCTCCCAACTTTGCGGAAACCGCAGTGAGCATCTTGCAATTGCATTGGGGTGCGCCGCACATCATAGACTCTTCGACCCTAATGATCAGTCCTACTTCGGGTTGCGGGCTTCAAGCCCCAACCCTAATTAGAAATTAGACCCTAAACCCTAAACCCTAAACCCTAAACCCTAAACCCTAAACCCTAAACCCTAAACCCTAAACCCAACGAGCACTTAGGGTTTAAGCCCTTGGGTTGCACCCGCCTCCTTCTGCGAGGGCGGAGTGAAGGACAACAGGACCAACTGCAGCTCGAGGGGCCTTATTGAGGTCTAGGCTTCTGGGGCTTGTTGGGGTTTGGTGTTTAGGGTTTAGGTTTTAAGGTTTAGGGTTTAGTAGGGTTTAGGGTTTAGTAGGGTTTAGGGTTTGGCAGAGTTTAGGGCTCAAAGAAGTTTAGGGTTTAGGGTTTTAGGTGATTGTTTTTTTTTTTTTTGGGGGGGGGGGGGGGGGGGTTTACGGTTCGGGTGAATACCGTATATAGAGATCGACAATAGGCCTCAAAGCACCAAACCCCAAAATCTGCTCCCCAAGCCCACATCCAAAACTCACATCCCAACCCTCAGCCCCAAACCTCACACCACCCTAAACCCTAAACCCTAAACCCTAAACCCTAAACCCCTAACACTTGACTGCAGGGCATGCGCAGCCCCACGTCATCAGGACAGACTTCAAACCCCCCAACCCACATCCCAGACCCCAAAGCGGAAGAGAGCCCAAAACCCAGTCCCAAAATCCTTTGGAAGCCTATAGAGAAACCCACAGCCCAAGCCCTAATTCCCAACCCCAACCCCCAAATCCGACGCTAAACCAAACTCCAAATCCCAAAGCTTCATCCCGCAGCCAGCCAACAACCCCTAAACCCTACACCCCAAACCCCAAACCCCAAACCCCAAACCCTAAACCCTAAACCCCTTTTTTACTAATATGCGTAAACATTTACCAAAACGTGAACTTTTGTTACTACGTAAACCCTAAACCCTTACCCCTAAACCCCAAACCCCAAACCCCAAACCCTAAACCCAAAACCCAAAACCCAAAACCCTAAACCCCCGGAACGCCCCCCCAAGCTTGGACCAGCTTCGGGTCTAAGTCGTCCTCGTCCTGGAGCATCGCGCCCTGGTGGAGGATCCTCTGCCTTTCTCGGGCTTTAAGGGGCCTCCAGGGCTTGTAGGGTTTTTAGGGTTGTTTTAGGGTTGTTCGGGGGTTTTCAGGGCTTTTAGGGTTTTTAAGGGTTTGTAGGGTTTAAAGGGTGTATAGGGTTGTTTTCGGATTTGTGGGGTTTATGGGTTTTTTTAAGGGTTTTCAGGGTTGTTTAGGGCTTTTAGGGTTTGTAGGGCCTCTAGGGCTTGTAGGGTTTGTAGGCTGTATAGGGTTATTATAGGGCTTGTAGGGGTTTATAGGGTTTATAGGGCTCTTGGGGCTTATTGGGGTTATAGGGTTTACAGGGTTCATGGGGCTCATAGGGTTTACGGGTTTTTAGGGCTTATTGGGACTTTCGGGTCTACAGGGTTCATAGGGTGTCGGGCCTATAATTTGTAGTGTAGCGGGTTTCCAGGGTCTATAGGGACCAGGCTCTTTTGGTCTAGGTGCAGGGTTTATAGTGTGTTGAAGAGCTTGCTGGATCGATAGGGTTTTCTTGGGTGCACTTGGGCGTACATGGGCTAGGCTGAAGAAGCGAACTGTAGGGTCCACAGGGCATATGGCTCTAATCGGGCTTGCAGGGGCGTGGGCAGGGGTTTAGAGCTTCTCTAGGGGTTGGGTTATTATTCGGAAACTAATGGGGCTTCCCCCCCCAAAAAAAAAGAACTCTCGGTCGAGGGCTTGAAGTTCCCTACACCCTTTGGCTCTGAGATGCTCTTCGAGTCGGCCCGGACTGAGGAGTCCCAGTGCTCGTAAGACTTGTTGTTCTCACGGAACAAAATGCCCCCAAACTCTCAAACCCTAAACCCTAAACCCTGAACCCTATACCCTGAACTCTAAACCCTAAACCCTTAACCCTTAACCCTAAACCCTCACGGGCTAAGGCCACCTGAATCTCGGCAGCCCGCAGAAATGCTGGAGGTGCTTCCTCAGCCGGGATTGCTGGCACTGCTCTGTCCGTCTCAGACTCTAAGGCTCTAAGGAGGCTACTTGAAGGGTTTTCGGACTCCCCCGAACCGTAAACCCTAAACCATAAAGACTAAAGCCTAAACCCTAAACCGGGCTTCTGTTGGGGGGATTTTCGGGCCTCCAAGGGTATGTTCCCCCCCCCACTCCTCAAGGCATCAAGATCGGCAAAGAGTCTTCAGCGCTCTCACCGGCGGGATGCCCTGTGAACAGAGCTCCTGGGAGTCTAAAACTTAGTTGCTGAGTTCATACGCCCCAAAAAAGTGTACACTTTCAGTTCTATAGGGGGTCAAAATATCCCAAACAATGTAAAATGTACCAACCCTAAACCCTGCAGGGTGTAACCAGGGTTCTGTTATTCTGAGGGGCTACCCCAAGACCCTAAGCCCTATATGGGTTTAATTAGAGTCCTGCTCCCGATGGGGCTCATTTCACGGGAATTAGAACCGCCCTTTCTTGGGGCGAGGAACCCTAAACCCTAAACCCCAAACCCTAAACCCCAAACCCTAAACCCTAAACCCTAAAGCCCTAAACCCTAAACCCTAACCCGAAACCCTGAGTGTGACGTCAGCTCCTGAAGCGAGCCATGGTCCACGCTGACCAACTTCGATCCAGAGGCCCAGCGAATGTGCAACATGGCAGGGTACAGGGTTTAGGGTTTAGGGTTTAGGGTTTAGGGTTTAGGGTTTAGGGTTTAGGGTTTAGGGTTTAGGGTTTAGGGTTTAGGGTTTAGGGTTTAGGGTTTAGAGTTTAGGCTCTTAGGGGTCTTAGGGTCCTTAGGGGTCTGAGGGTCTTAGGGTTCTTAGGGGTCCTTAGGGGCCTGAGGGGTCTTAGGGTCTTCGGGTACAAGGGCTTTAGGCACTCGAACGCTCGTGTCAGGCGGCTCGAGTCTCAGAGGCCCTAGAGAAGGCAGGGTTCAGGGTTTAGGGTTAATTAGAATGTTTATAGGGTTTAGGCATTTTGGGGTTCTATAATGTGTATAGGGTTTGGGATTGTTAGGGGTATAAAATGTGTGTAGGGTTTAGGGTTATATAATGTCTATAGGGCTTAGAATTTTAGGGTTTGCGTTGGCCCCCTTTTAAGGGTTTCTACGGGTTCAAGAGTTTACGGGTTTCAGGATTCATGTTGTAGGGCTGCAGGGTGCAGGGTTACAGGATTTAAGAGTTGAGGTTTCCAGGGACTTTTTGGTTTGAGGGTTTAAGGGTTCAAGGGCGAACGAGGGCTCAAGAGTTTAAGGCTTAAGGGTTTCAGGATTCGGGGTTGAGGGCTTCTTAAGCCGCTACAATCCCTGAGCCGAGAATCAGCGGGTTTAGGCTCTAGGGTTTAGGGTTGAGTTTTGCGGATTTAAGGCTTAGGGCCCATCAACTCTACATGCCAAATGAATCGTGCGCCCTGCGCACCACGTGTGGTCCTGGGAGCCGAAGTAGTTTTGGACGACGCTGGAGACGTTTGACCCTAAGCCCTACTGGATAAGACGATTAGATTAGGCAGGTTATAACCCTGGTTATAAGTCGGGCAACCCATGTTATAACCCCGATAACTTGACCCAAAGTTCACCCCTAACTTCTCTACTACTTATGTCCTTAGTTACTGGGGTTAGGGGTGAGTTATGTAAGTGTGCCAGGGGAGTTATAAGTTAGTTAGGGTTTAGTTATAGTCAAGTTAGGGTCTAGTTGCGGGTTCGCGTTATTGTTGCTTCTGCAGAAGCCATTGTTGGCCGAGAGCGGGTCATTTTTTGGTGGCAGCTTTACTGTCCATGCGTGCGCTGAGTGTGGGTTTAGCGAGGATGGCTGGCGTTGTCGTTTGAGGTCAGCGCAGGAAGTGTTCTGAAAGAGAAACGTCAGTCGCACGTCTTGCTGCCATTTGCTGTCGTTTGTGTTCAAGCCGAAGTGTCATTTGGGGTCATGAACGCAATACGGAGATCGCACCACGAAAGGGTGGAGCGACGGCGCTTGCAGCTGATATCCTTTGCGAGGTATTGCATTTTCATTTCACACCATGCCCACCCTTTCGTGGTGCGATGTCCGTATTGCGTTCATGACCCCAACTGACACTTCTTCGGCTTGAACACAAACGACAGCAAATGGCGGCAAAACGTGCGTTTGTTTTCAGCTTTGGGGCCCTGTCGGCCCGGTGTCGGCCTGTGTCGGCCCGCTTCGGGGACTACGCTGGCTGGCCCTGGGTCCGCGTGTCGGCCCGTGTCGGCCCAACGGTTTTCCATGGTTATTACTAAGGATTTTAACGGTTTCCCTTTGTCGGCCCGTGTCGGCCCATCGGCGCGCATGATTAGGTGTTTGGGCTCCTGTCGGCCCGGTGTCGGCCTGCTCTGCCAGCCAGATCCCAAAAAACCATGTTTCCTTCCGAAAAAACATGTTGACTGTCGATGCTCCTTCTGAGTCTTGGTGACGACTGAATGAATTTCCTGGTTTGCCCGAAGCAGCTGGCTCAGTCCTTCTTGTCTTCTGCCTCGACTCCTTGAAGCCATGATGGCCGAGGTGCACCAGTATGAGGCTGAAGACCCCTTGCCGGCCCAAGAAGATGCGGAAGCTTCTCCGGGTGAGGCGTTGGTGCCAGCACCGAAAAAGGAAAAGCTTTGCCAGCTTTTCCGCTGTGTCTGCAGCCCCGACCTGGCCGATAGTGTTTCTTCTTTCCAGCCTTGCCAGCAGAATCCCTGGACCACGGCTGCCTGGCGGCGGCTCACCTCCTCTGCTTGCATTGAAAAGGTGTGTAAATCTGCCAATTTCGGTCCTACACGGCAAGCCATCAACACCTTGAAAGACAAAACACACACACCGGCGAAAACATAGTTAGGTCGAAGTTACGGATCCACCCTAGCTAGGTTATCAGTTACTTAACATAACTAGAGTATAAGTCACTTATAACCCCGGTAACCGAAACGTCTTATCCAGTAAACCCCAAACCCGAAAACCCTAAACCCTAAACCCTCTACCCTAAACCCTAGACCCTAAACCCTACACCCTAAACGGCTTAGGGCTTAGCACCCAAAGACCAAGAGCTGCAAAACCCTAAACCCTGAAGCCTAAACCCTAAACCCTAAACCCTGAAGCCAACACCCTAAACCCTAAGCCCTAAACCCTATACCCTAAACCCTAAAGCCTAAAGCCTAACGCCTAACCCTAAACCCTAAGCCCTAAACCCTATACCCTAAAGACTAAAGCCTAACGCCTAACCCTAAACCCTAAACCCTAAACCCTAAACCCTAAACCCTAAACCCTAAACCCTAAACCCTACGCCCTGCAGGCACCAAGAGTGAGCCCCCTGCCTCGGCGCAGCGTGGTTTTGGGCACGGACAAAGCTGGTAAGAGCTCGGGGCCTGCGACAACCAACACTTTAGGGTTTACAGGGTTTAGGGTTTTGGCGCCTTGGCGCACCCCTACCTAGACCTCCAGTTGTAGTTGCTTTGCGGGTGCGGTACGGAACTTCCTTGTGCTTAGGCCTTTGGGTTTAGGGTACATTACAAAACCATAGAACCCCCCCCGGCCAAGAAACGTGCGAGGAAGATTATATATTTATTTGGAAGGTCGGTTACCACTTCTCACGCACGAGCTGCAGAATCCATCCGGAGAGAGACGAGAGATAAACAGATGCATAACTAGAAATCCTACTCCCCGAACCTTTTCAACCGCGAAATGTTTTGTGTGCTTCTTGTTGCTGTTGTCTTGGGGTTCAGCACACGGGCTGGTATCTTGGCTGGCAAGCGCCTTGGCTGGCACGCGCCTAAGCCCTAAATCCGAATATTCTGTACGAAGTTCCTGCCCCGGGAAAGCCTACGTAGGTCAAAACCCGCTCAGGCCTGAGGGTTTCAGGTTTAGGGTTCAGGGTTTAGGGTTTATGGCCCGAGGCGCTTGAGGACGAAATGGGTAGCAGGGCTTCGGGCTGAGGAGAAACGTGATTAAAGGCCCTTTTGAAAGCTCAAATGTGACACCTTATGCGCATGGCACAGCTACACCTGCAGCAGCTCGCTGTCTATTCTACACCACTCTTCTCCGCTAAGTCCAAGACGTTCTGCAGTCGCTCAATCAATTCCTTCCGGTACTTGGGTAATTTGTCGGTCTTCACGGCGGCCTCGAAGCTGTTGAGAATCTCCTCCATCTCAAAATGGACCTGGTTCTTTCTGAGAGGATCATTCGGGGAGAGGGAGTCCTCCGAGATATATCTCTCACCATAGCGTTGCACAAGCTTCCCGGCAGTTTGTTCCATTCCTGCCAGCTTTGCCTCCTGCTCCGGACCGATGAAGGAGTCTCCGACTGCCTCTTCAGCCTCAAGTGCCTCCTTGAGGGCTTTAGCAGCAGCGATGGCAGATTCACTGAAGGCCTTTGGAAGGGGTTCCCGGACCAGGCGGATCACATCGGCGTTGCTTTGCAAGGGCACCAGGATCGGCACTGCAGCAGCGTGCAGCATCCATCTGCGGCTTGCTCGGCTTGGTCGGCTTGGCGGCTGATTGCCGCCATATTGAAATGCAGGAAGCTTCCCGGACAGGGCCAAGACCGCAAGCCCCAGCCAGGCGAGCAAGATACGCTGTTTGCGCCACTTCGTGGGCGAATGCTCACTGGCGCTCATGACGGGCACATTCAAACACGGGCACCGACTGTATACAACTCTGCTACAAGAATGTGATGCAAGAGTTGCGCGAGTGGAAATATATGCCATGCTGGACAAACAGCGATGAACGGAAGGACCTTAGCCTAACAAAGTATCGCATGCTAGGGTCATGCTAGGGTCTGGTACCAGCAGCAGAGCACCAACCCCTCTCAGCAAGCATTCCAACGCAAACTCTGATGCCACATGGCTTGGCCCCCGTGACATAGTTGTATAAACTAAAGCCAAGCCCCGCGAACCTCAATCGAGAATTGAGAGAATGGCATAGCGAACTCCAAAGGTCAAACACACGTAGAAAGAAAGGTAGAGATATACTTAAATCTGCATATATATATATATATATAAGATTTATACATACTGGGCCCCGATAGCCCAAAACCCCACAGCCCCCACAAACAAAAAGCCCTGAACCAGGGGTCCGAGAGATCCTTCTCTGCTCCTAAACCCCAAAACCCAAAACCCAAAACCCTAAACCCTAAACCCTTTTGCTGAAGCCAAGGGCCCAGCCTTTGGCAACAGGCCGCCGTGCGTGGGTGCTCATCTCCCCCTGGAGGGCATCTCTTAACGAGGCACCTGCCGACGCAGCAGGTGCGCAACGTGAAGCCCATGGGGTTTAGGGTTTGTAGGGTTTATAGGGTTTAGGGGTATTTTAGGGTATTTAGGGTATATGGGGTTTATAGGGTGTTTGGGGGTTTATAGTGTTTACAGGGTTTTGGGTGTTTAGGGTTTATAGGGTTTATAGGGTTTATAGGGTTTAGGGTTTGGGGTTTAGGGGTTTAGGGAGCGTCATATGTAACTTTCACAAGGGGTCCTGAAAAGGCTACGTAAGGTGAATAGGAATTAGGGCCGCCAGAACTTCCAAAATCCCTGAAGTCGGGATACTCCCAGGCCCCAAACCCTGAGCCCCAAAACCTGAATTGAGGGGGTTTTGGAGGCTTTGGATCCAGGGCCTTCAAATCAGGTCTCGTATCTCTGAGCTTTACGAGCGAAGAGCATCATCCAAGTAGGGTTTAGGGTTTAGGAATCTGGTTGAGGATTCCATGCGCGAGCAAGGGCCTGAAGCAATGGAGACGAATGATGTGCATTCCGCTTTTCTGCAACCCGGCTGAAACATGCAACCCGTTCTGCATCAAGGTGAGGATATGCTGCAGATCCCGAGTGTGCAAAAGTTTGCAAAGCCAGCCGTGACAAACTTAGAGGGATAAGATCCCTGGGAAGGCCCTCTGTGCGGTGCAAATCAGTCCTGTCTGCCCGATGCTGCAGCAATGGGCACCCGAAATCAGTATGCAAAGAGGTGCTACTTGCTAGTAGGGTATTTCCACAAACCAGCTGCGATACAGGAGGTCGAAAAACCAGAAATCCACCACCAACCCCAACCCGAGCTGAGGCAAGGCGCCCAGCGACGTCGCCGACGGTGGCGATGCTACAAGCTGCTGGGAGAGCAACTCCTCGAGCCTGGAGTTTTGTTGATATGAAGGGCAGTAGTGGAGCTGTGATTGAAGAGGAGGGGCACCGTAAGCACGGGAGTACTTTGAATCCTGAAGGCCACGACGGCAGCACTCATCAGCTTAAACCCGTACAACATAACCAGATTCGCACCACGTTATCACAGCATCTTGTCTTTGAGCCCTACAATGTGGGGCCCTCTAGTTACAGAGCAAGTTATATCTTGTGCAACATAACTAATAACATAACTTATAAGTTATGTTGTCAGAGTTATAAATCGAGCAACTTGGAGAACTGGACGGGATCAGTTATAACTAAGTCATGCCAGTTAGCTAACTTGGATCACTAAAAAATGCTGTATTTTGTAAGGTTTCAGTCACATGGAGGTCGAGGGCTATGTTTCATATACTTTTTAAGAAAGGGCTGGGGTAGCGTGGAAACTACAGGATTTCACATGTTTTTGTTAGAAACATGTCACGTAAAGAAATCTGATGCAGTGTCTTTTGGTATGTTTGGAGCTGAATACCGAGCAAGTTATATAGACTATGTGTGCCCATGGCGTGGAGCAGAGCAAAGCGAAGGTCGACACTTCCTTTCGGGCCAGCTGCAAGGGGAGGTCGACCGGACCACACGCGGACCACAAGGGGACCACAAGCGTACAACAAGCAAATCCTCGAGACATCCCACGAAACCGACCCGTACCACAAGCAAAAACGGCCTACCCGGACCACAAGGGGACCACAAGAGAATATCCAGAAAAAAAGTATCCACAAAAAGAACGTGTCGATATTCTTTCAGGCAGGGAAGCCATATCCACCAGAAGATACACACCGAAGAAGATAAGTATATAATTATGTATCTATACGAAACACTGTGTGTCAATTATACATCTGTGTAAAGAAATCATCAAAAACATATACATAGACGTATCTCTCTCATTAATGCCGCGATTTTTGTATTTCTGTCGCCTAACAAGGCCAGGTTTGTTTTGGTATACTTTTGAGGCTAACTTCCCTAACTAAGATATAACTTACATGTATCTGGGCTTACTAAATTATAACTGAAGGGCCCCACATTGTAACATCCTTCCCTAACCCTTGACCCCTAACAATCCTTTGTACTCAGCCTTATACAACACCCTAACCCTAAACCCTAAACCCTAAACCCTAAACCCTAAACCCTAAACCCTAAACCCTAAACCCTAAACCCTAAACCCTAAACCCAAAACCCTAAACCCTACACCTACAAACCCTAAACCTACAAACCCTTATAAGACCCTTAAAGCGGCCCTCTAGATGCAGCTGCGAGGCAGCTCAGCAAGCTTCGTCTTCAGCGTAGAGTCGACCTTCAGGTTCTCTTGGTGTTTAGGGGTTGTGGGGATGTTTAGGGGGTTGGGGTTTAGGGTTTAGGGTTTAGGGTTTAGGGTTTAGGGTTTAGGGTTGAGGGTTGAGGGTTTAGGGTTTAGGGTTGAGGGTTGAGGGTGAAGAGGTTACCAGCTTGAGGGTTAGGAGTTCAGTGGTTTGGGGGTTTAGTGCGTTAGGGGTTTTGGGCTTCAGGTTCTGGTTGTTTGTGCTTTCCCTGGCCTTGTAGGTGCCAGGGTTGATACTTCTTGTACGACTCTTTCAATCCCATGACAAAAAGGATGTTCAGGGTTAACAACTCCGAAACCTTAGGACCCAAAAGCCCAAAAGACGAAAAGCCTAAACCATCAACAAGTTCCCCTACATGGCTAGAATCACCCTAAACCCTAAACCCTAAATCCCCGAACCCTAAACCCTAATCCTGAATCCCCAAACCCTAAACCCTAAGTTTGGACCCTCTTTAATGTACCCCCCCCCCCCCACCCCCCCCCCCCCCCACCCCCCCCCCCCCACCCCCCCCCCCCCACCCCCCCCCCCCCACCCCCCCCCCCCACCCCCCCCCCCCCCCCCCCACCCCCCCCCCCCCACCCCCCCCACCCCCCCCCCACCCCCCCCCCCCACCCCCCCCCCCCCCCCCGAGAACAGCCGAGGCGTGGATTTGGTCCTGATTAAACGGGCCCGGGGCTTTATATGATTTCAATAGGGAGGAGTTTAGATAGATTTAAAAGGGATCCATATGAATGTAAAAGGGATGAGCTTATATGAAGTTGAAAGGGATCCGCACGAATCGAAAAGGGACCCGGGATGAGTTTATATGAATTTAAAAGGGATTCATTGGCTTTTTCCAAATTCGGAGCCTCCGGGCCGGGGCCTTGACAGAAAAGAGGGTCCCAAATCAGTGCCATTGTTCGGGGCCGAGGGGGCCTCCTGGACCACCCCCTTGTGGGACTGAAAAAAACCAATTTGTTTGAATGGTTTCTTAAAGGGAATTAATGGTTTCGGGCCGGTTGGGATGGATGAGGTCGGCCTTTAAAATCACAAGGTCCGGCTTCAAAATCATGAGGCCCGGCTTTTAGCCGGAGCCTCCGGGCCGAAACAAGCCCCAAATCCTAAACAAACGGGAACAGTGTGACTTTAAAGAGGGACCCGCAAACAGTGAGGGGATCCTGGATCATTTGGCCAAATTGACTTTAAAGGGGGGCCCCTGCTAAACAGGGTCCAACATTAACCCCTAACCCTAAACCCTAAACCCTAAACCCCTAAACCCTAAACTTCCCACCTCGAAGCGTTGAGAAGCAGCCCTCAGATGCCTGCCAGCTTGATTTGACGGAGGCTCTGCAGGTTTAGGGTTTAGGGTTTAGGGTTTAGGGTTTAGGGTTTAGGGAGTAGGGGGTTTATAGGGTTTAGGGTTCAATTGTTTGAAGGTGGGTTTTATGGGTTTTACAGGATTTTCTACGGTTGAGAGGTCTGATCGGGTCTTAAGGTTTATTGGGTCTCTTATGGTCTTAGAGTCTTGGAGTCTTCGAGTCTTGGACTCTGGGGGCAGGGATTTGGAGCCAGGATACCAGAGCTGACTGGCTGTTTCTTCATTCTTGATTGCTATCATAGTACTCACATGATTACAAGGAACTGGCTTGTTCTTGGTTTGCATATTTTGTGAGGGTGGGGCAGGCGAGGGCGCGGGCAGGGTGGGGCTGGTCTGGGCGGGTTGGGATGAATGGTGCGCTCACAGCACGCAATATCCCAGACCCAAGCCTGGAAGACCACACGCCCAAGCAATGCCAACCTGAATCCTCACAGACCTCCAGCAAGGAAGCATGAAACAAAAAAACACAACTAAACCTTCAACCCTAAAACCTGGAACGCCACAGCCCCGAATCTAAAGTAAAACGGCTCAGGTCTTTCCCAGAGCTCGCTTTGAGGTCGTGATCTCCCCCCCTGGACCCAAATGCGCTTGACTCTAACTTAAAGCACTTAAGCAAATATGTGAGGGGATGTCCAAAAATACTCTTTGAGGGGATTCTATTCTCTTTGAGGTATAACAGGGGTACCCATATTTTGGGGGAAATACCCATATGGGGGGGGGGGGGGGGCTTTCCGACATTAGGTGTACCCGTTTAGGAGATTCCTATGATTAGGATTTAGGTTTGTTGG